TATAATGCCACATTGGGTGACTAGTAATAGTAGCACAAATGTAATTAGAAACTGTATATACAATTGTTCTGTAAGGCGTTTATCATGACTAATAAAGTTTCTACGTTGGCAATATAAAAAAAAAAAAATAATAATAATACTCAACTTTTAAATATAACTTTTATTAAAATATATAATAATATTTTTCTTTTATGACTTAGCCAGAAATGTTTATTTTTATGAGAAAAGAGTTAAACTAGACCTTTGTGGTTATATTTCTAGCAAGCTTAAAGAAGAACTAAATCTTATTGTTGATATATTTGATTATTACTTTGGAGAAGAAATTAGTAGAAGAGATAGTTTTAATTTAAATACTCTAAATAAAGAACAAGATAAACAGCTTTAAAATTTTTTAAAGTTTTATTCAGCATTATTCGTATAGAAAGGTCGTAGATTAGGATGTACAAATTTAATTAAGCATTGCATTAATATAGAGAATGTCTTACTTATTAAGTATCATCCATATTGGCATTTCTAGCTAATAAGAAAATAATTAATATCAAAATTGATAAAATGTTAAAAAAAGGTTTTATTCAACCTTGCCAAAGTTCATGGACCTCTCCTGTGGTATTAGTACTCAAATCTAATGGCCAAATATGATTTTGTATTGATTACCAAAAGTTAAATTTAGTAATTCAAAAAGATAATTACCCACTACCCCAGATTCAAGATCTTTTAGACGCCTTAAATAGTTCAGCATAGTATAGTTCACTCAACCTTGCTAGTAAATACTGGCAGATTAATGTAGAAGATTTAAACTGCTTTCATTGCCCCTTTTGGTATTTACATGTTTTATATAATAATTTTTGGGTTAACAAAGCCCTGGCAACTTTCCAACATCTCATAGATTACCTTTTTTAGAACTTGATTAGAGAATGTGTCATCATATATTTAAATGATATTAACATCTATTCAAAATCTTTTAAGGATCACCTGACTCATTTAAAAATAGTCTTTAAGTAACTAAAATTTGCTAGTCTTACTTTTAAGTTCTCTAAATGTTTCTTTGACTATCGACAGTTAAATTTTTAGGTTATATTGTAAAAAAAGAAAGAATAGCTGCCAACCTACAAAAGTAGAAGTAGTGAAAAATTTTCTTGTTTCTAGAAATTTGAGGCAACTATGAGGCTTTTTAGGTTAGTCTCCTACTATAGAAAATTCATTAGAAATTTCATCCAAGTCACCACCCTGCTCAATCAATTATTAAAGAAATATAAGACTTATGCATGGAAAGAAGAACAATAAAAAGCTTTTGAAGCCTTAAAAGAAAATTAATTACTGCTCCTGTTTTAGTATATTCAGACTTTGATAAAAGTTTTATTCTTTTTACTGGCATGTCTAACATTGCTTAGGTGCTATTCTATCACAGAAAAATGAAAAAGGCTATAAACAAGTTATATTCTATACAAGTTGAAGTCTTACCCAAGGAGAAAAAAATTATTCTGTAACTGGGAAAGAATATTTGGCCATAGTATGGGCTATTGGCTATTTTTGTCCATACTTATATAGAAGTCAATTCATTTTGTATATGGATCACTCAGCCCTTAAATATTTGTTCAAAGTAAAATTACCCAAGACCATTTAGCTAAATGGATAATGACCCTTACCAAATATTCTTTCACCACTGTTTATTGTCCTGGAAGATTTCATATCAACACTGATAGTTTATCACAAATTTAATAGGTTATCATCAATAAAGTACTTGTAATTCTAGATAATTAAGAAAAAAAAAAAGCAGAGAATATGTAACAAATTTTTGAAACTCAATAAAAACAAAAATTGTTTTAAATTTTTATACTTTCTTTTAAAAATCTACAAATCTAGTTCAGGTTATGATGTCCTAGCATTTCCTTTAAAATTTTAATTTAGACTCTTAAGATTAAAATAATTTTGTTTCTTCTTTTTGAGTAAAATAAATAATTTAGAAAACCTCTTTTAAATTCGAATTAGACTAAGTTAATAAATATGGATATAGATTTATATAATCTTTACCTTCAGTATCTTGTAAATACTATAGTACCTTTTTTCGTATTCTCCTAAAGAAATCAGGAATTTAAAAAATAAGACCCATCACTATTTGGTCTTGAATAGATAGATTATTATACAAAAATAATCTCCATTCTCCCACATATCCATCGTGAGTTCTAAAGAAAGGTGAAACCTGGTCTATACTTTTTAGTATGTATGACAACTCTCTTTCTAGATATTTTGGCTTCTATGTCATATACCAAAGAATTGCCACCCATTATTTTTGGCCCCAAATAGGCAATAAGATAAAAGAATATATTAAAACATATAAAATATATCAAATTAAACAAAGATCTAATACACAGGAACTGTTATACTCTATCAAAGTTGGAAAACTGTTCGATTGTGTTGGAATCGATATTATAGAACCACTCTCAGTAACTTCTTTAAACAAAATATACATTGTTGTTGCTATTAAGTACCTTACCAAATGGTCTGAGGCTTGTACTCTTGGAACAGCCAATGCTAAAAGTGGCACTACTTTTATTTTTAAACATCTAATTTGTCGCTACAGTAGTCTCAAAAAAATATTTTCAGACCAGAATACATATTTTTGTAATAAACTTATTTTAGCCCTTTGTAAAAAATTAAGTGTTACTTACTACACTTCCATGGCATATTACCCCAAACTAATGGTTTGGTTGAGAGGTTTAATAAGACTTTGTGTGGTGTTTTAAATAAATGTGTAAACCAATCTATTAAAAATTGAAACAAATATATTTACTCAGCTCTTTTTGTTTACTGTCCTACTCTACATCATACTACTAGCTATGAGCCCTTCTTCTTACTATATGGATAATCATTAATTTTTCTGGTTAAAATTAACTTTATAACTTCCCAAACTCACCTGGAGACTGAAGAAGAACTACAAAATCAAATATATAGACAAGTAGAAAGCCTAATAGGAAAATTAGTAAAAGCTTAGCAAATAGTAGTGAGAAAAATAAAAAATCACAAGTTAACTAAAAGTGTTACTATAAGAAAAGAAATAAAATTGAATCATATGAAATTTGCGATCAAGTTCTATTATATAGGGCTGATCTAGCCACATCATATAGTTCTAAATTAGAATCTCAAAATTTAGATTTCTATTATGTGTATAATATACTACCCTTTGGGTTGTACAAATTATAAACTTTAAATAGATACATGCTCAAGACTAAGATTTATAGAAACTAGTTGTCTCATTATTATTCATGTTTATAGTTGTGGGACTCCTTTAGAATTATGTTAGTTATGTAAAATAAAAAGCTTATCTTTAAAATTTGTTCTTTCTCCTTTATTTTATAGCAATTTTTATTTTATTTTATTTTATTTTATTTTTTATTTTTTTTATTTTTTAATTTTATTTTATTTTTCTCTTTTCTTTTTTTTTCCTTTATTTATTTATTTTACTTTATTTAATTTTTTTACAATAGAAATTTCTGTTCATATTAAAAGAACTCTAGCCACCTTAAAGGCTCAAATGATAAATATAAATATTGAAGGTATTTACTTTGTCTCTACAGATAATATTATTTATCTGTCAAATCAACAATTGCAAATTATTAACCTTGATTTTCTAAATAAAAAACTAATGCCCAATTATTGTATAATAAATTATCAACCTTTTTTAAAGATCTTTGACAAAGTAAATATCTAACTATTTGATTGAAACTCCTTTGGGTATAAAGTGGAAAGACAAGGTTGCTTATATATGTGCCCAGCTAGCTTTCAGTAATCTTTATCATTATAATTAGTTACTTCATTTCTATTTTACTTGAAGAAAAAAATCATGAAAAGAAGAGCAAAACTTAGTTAAACAATTATTGCCCCACAAGTATGGCAATATGTTAATCATTGCTTATCAGAACTTACTTTTATACCATGTTTGAGGTCCCACTCATCTTTTTACAGCCCAAGCAATTATCCTTTATATTCTATATCATCTTTGAAAAGAAGACTTCGCTACTTTAAAGAGCAAAGCTCAAATATTGGCTCAACAAAAGCTTAATAAAGTATTAGAGATGGTCCCTTTTGCAGGGGCTCAAGGCTAAGGGAAGACAAATATAACAAATATTTTCTTTTAATTTATTTTTTTTTGGATGTTATATAGAATAGATGGGCAATATAAAAAATAAACTCCACTAATAATTAATAATCATTAATAAATATTTAGCAAAGTAGTGAAGTTTGCGGAGTTTGCCTACCTATTCTATAGAACATCCATTTTTTTATGTTGTTTCTTTTATTTTATTATAGTTTTATTTGGCTATTTTTCTTGTATATAGTTTTATTTAACCCCTACCAATTCTATTTTGATAACAGTACCCATGAGTATAGTTACGATGGGAATATTTAATTAGTTATACTAAATAGGAAGGTAATATGAGCTTGATGGTTTATCTTATGTAAACTTGTGAATGCTCAAAATAGCATGTATACATACTTATACAAAAATGTAGATTCTACACCCAAAGCATAGTTGCTTAAATTAAAATGTATTCACATAGAAAAGAATGTATATGTTCATATTAGAACAGATTTGCTTGTAATATAATATAAACATTTCCAGAAAATTTTATATATATAAGTTCATGAATTTTAATAAAGTTGAACAAGTTCCACCTTCACTTTTAATAAAACAAAATAATAAAGAAAATACTTATCATTTTGTAAATTTCAACTTGTAACTTTAATAAAACCCTATAAGACTCAATTTGACAGACTGAATTGACTTTAACCCTATGAAAACTCGATACATAGAAATGCATGTATAAATATGAAATTGTATGTGGTTAAGCATGGGTTTTATAATCACTGCATGGAAACTGATCATCCAAAAAATTTAATACATGTTATCACACGAAAAGTTAAAATCTGTGCACTATCGTGCATAGTATTATATCCATATATTGATGTGTATTAATCTTCATGATCACATAATTTCTATGCACTAACGTGCACAATCGTTAAGATTTTTAACGATCATAATTATAATTTTCGTGCTCTAATGTGCACAATCATTAAGATTCTTAACGATCAAAATTTTAGTGCATTAATATCATGCACAATCATTAATATTCTAACGATCGTGCATGATATCATGTGCTAACATGATGATCATTAAGATCCTTAATGATTGCATTAATGTGATGATCGTTAAGATTCTTAATGATTATAAATTCAGAAATTTTGTGCATTGACGCACACAAAAACATTTATCTTGTTTTTTTTGTTTTTTTTTTGTACTTAATAATAATTTCTGTGCATTGACGCGTACAAATTAAGCAAATAATTATTTGCTTTTTTTTACTCTTATAATTTTTATTATTAGGT